GGAGAGTTCAATATGAAAAGACGTAGTGTATTTATTAGTTAGATGACTGTAATAATGGAAAAATATGTACAAAATAGCCAAAACGACATTTATTTAACAAATAATCAATTAATCTAGGATGACAAATAATAAAAATAGGAGGGAGTATATCATTGAGCTAAATCTATCGTCTCCAATAATTAATAAAGAAAGAAAAAATAAAATTCTCCCTCTCTTTTTTGAGAGGCGATGGAACCAATATCTTCATTCCTAATAAATGCTATGGGCCTTAAACCCATATAAGGATAAGGCTTCAGTAAAGGCTTTTCCCACCTAGTCTATACACTAAAGCCTACAAAATTACACACGTGGGCTTATACTTGCCCCTGTTTTACATGAGCACAACACTGGACTCGTAGAAAGGCACATGTATGTATGGGCTTTTCATGGGCCCCGATAATGTTGTGAAACTACGTAGATGGGCTTTTATTGGGCTTCTGAAACTTGAGTTTGGAAAAAGTGAAATAAACGAAATTAAAGTATTTATGGGTGATTGTTTATGGATTCAACTTATTTTTATTTAGTTTGTTTTTTAACTATAGTTAATTTTGAAAAAAAAATGGTATAGTTAGTTGTTAGTAGATATATTAAACTAATATTTACATAAAATAATTAAAGTTGATTTGATGTAAAGTAGGAAAAAATGATTGGAAGTGACGATTAGTTAAAATTATGTGAATTGATGAATACTGAATTAAAGTTGATGTGATGTGTAAGAATAATTGGTTGATATTATTTAATTATATTGATATTATTGAATATAGTGAGATTGAGTTAAAGTTGAGTTAAATTTGAGTTTTAATTGATTTTTTTTAATTGAAAATCATAAACAATCACCCTTCTGATTTTCAGAATAATTCTAAGCAATTGTTTATGATAAGATTCTCGCCAGCAGTTTATCTATAAACACACTAACTATTTGAATATGTGTGTATTTGATCCAACGCACGAAAAAATTGGATAGAATCTGGGAACCCTTTTTTTCATTAATGAATCCTCACTGAAATCTGGATATTGCACGACTTTTTCCTTATTTATCTCGACATCTCTTTATTTTTTTCCCTCGATGTTAGAGGGCTTTTTATTCTTAAAGACTCTCTCACATGGAGTTGTAATAATTTCAGGCCTCAATCTCAAATTCATGAGAAAAATAGACACATCAAGCTTTAAATGAGAAAAGCATAATAAGACTGTTGTTATTT